CAAAAAAAAAAAAAAAAAAAACCAAAAAAAAAAAAAGAATCCTAGGTCATTAAGTATTATCAAACAATCAGGTTCCTATTATGGTTGCCCAGTCTACATGAATGGTTTCTATCTCTGTTTCTATCTCTGTTCCTGATTCTCACTCTATTTTCCTTCTGGGGCTGAAATACTACACTGGGTCAGGCTTTGTGGTTCACACCTATAATCCTAGCACTTTGGGAGGCCAAGGCAGCAGGATCACTTGAAGCCAGGAGTTTGAAAATAGCTGGGCAACCAAGTGAAACCCTGTCTCTACGAAAAAAATTTTTTGAGTAAGAGTCTCACTCTGTTGCCCAGGCTGGAGTGCAGTGGCATACTCACAGCAACCCCAGCATTCACCCGCTGGGCTCTGGCGATCCTTCCACCTCAGCCTTCCAAGTAGCCAGAACTAAGGGCGTGCACTACCACACCCAGCTAATTTTTTTTTTTTAATTGTAGAGACAAGGTCTCATTGTGTTGCCCTAGCTGGTCTCAAACCCACAGGCTCAGGCAAAGTGCTAGGATTACAGGCTTGAGCCACTATGCCCAGCCACTACAAAAAAATGTTTTTTTTAATTAGCCAGGTGTGAGGCCAGGCACGATGGATATGCTTATAATACCAGCACTTTGGGAGGCCGAGGTGAGAGGATTGCCTGAGCTCACGGGTTCGAGACGAGCCTGGGCAACTTGGTGAGACCTCATCTCTACAATAAAAAAAAAAATTTAAAAATTAGCTGAGCATGGTGGCGCATGCCTGTAGTTCCAGCTACTTGGAAGACTGAGGTGGCAGGATTGCCTGAGCCCAGCAGATAGAGGCTGCAGTGATCATGAGCGTGCCACTGCCCTCTAGCCTGGGTGACAGAGTGAGACTCCATCCTAAAAAAATATATAATAATAATAATAATTAGCCAGGTGTGGTGACTTGGGTCTGTAGTCTCAGCAACTTGGGTGGCTAAGGTTGGAAGATTGCTTGAGCTCAGGAGTTCAAGTCTGCAGTGAGCTATGATGATACCTCTGTACCCTAGCTTGGATAACAGAGTGAGATCCTGTCTCAAAAAAAAAGGAAGGAAGAAAGGAAAGAAGGAAGGGAGGAAGGAAGGAAGGAAGGAAGGAAGGAAGGAAGGAAGGAAGGAAAGAAAGGGAGGGAGGGAGGAAGGAAGGAAGGAAGGAAGGAAAGAAAGAAAGAAAGGAAGGAAGGAAGGAAGGAAGGAAGGAAGAAAGAAAGAAAGAAAGAAAGAAAGAAAGAAAGAAAGAAAGAAAGGTTATGAGAAAGAAAATAAATACTACCCTGAATCTCAGTCTGCTTGGGTAGACCCCAAGCTGCTACCTTGCTTATATCCAGGCCCCTTTCAGTGAAAAATGGACTATTGACTGGGGTCTTGCTTCAAATCAAAGATCTCCTCCTCCTCTCTCCTCACCCTGTCCTCAACTTAATTTATTTTAATTTATTTTTATAGAGACTGGGATCACACTATGTTGCCCAAGACTGGTCTTGAGCTCCTGGTCAAGTAATCCTCCGGCCTCAGTCTCCAGAGTAGCTGGGATTATAGCACCATCACACCTGACTCTCAATTTTAAAACTAAATAATGAAAGCCTGTGAACTCTTGGCTATCAGCTCCACCTAGAATGGAGCACACCCCCTTGGACACTTTGATTGGTTTACTGCTACCTCTTTGAACTGGAGAAATAAGAGAAGGCCTATCCAGAAGAGTAGCTACCTCTGGAGTCAGAATAGGAGAGACTTTTAGGATGAGTTGGTTTTCTAGCCAGTCAGTTCCTGCAGAAAAATGAAAGAGAATGAGGATGGCCACGGATCGTTAGATTTGCTAAGTAGGTCATGGTAACAATGGAGGGAAGTTTTAGTAGTATGTGGAGATAGGTGTCAGATTAAAGAGAATTTTATTTTGAATGCTTTTCATAATAAATAAACTCACATAAGAATGATTCAATCACTGTAAAACCCTTTATTTAAGCCTGTCTTTTAGTACAAATCACAAAGAAAATGTTCACCAAAGTTCACCCAATTTTTATAGTTTCTCATCTCCTCCAATTCCTTCTTCCTCATTCCTCCATCTCCTTTCTCTTAGTATTCTACTTACTCCTCTTCATTTTCAAATATATTCCCACAGAGATATAGACAAAAAACCTTAGTAAAATAATAAAGTCTTAAAAGAAAACAAAAGGCCAGGCTTGGTGGCTCAGCCTGTAATCCTGCGCTTTGGGAGGCCGAGGTGAGTGAATTGCCTGAGCCCGCGGATTCGAGACCCACCTGGGCAACTTGGCGAGACCTCATCTCTACAATAAATCAAAAAAACTAACCGGGCGTGGTAGCATGCGCCTGAAATTCCAGCTACTTGGATGGCTGAGGTGGAAGGATCGCTGGAGCCAGCAGGGCGAGGCTGCAGTGGCCGGGAATGGCCACTGGACTCCAGTCTGAGTGACAGAGTGAGACTCCAACTCAAAAAAAATAAATAAATAAGAAAACAAAAACAAAAACAAAACACATGTTAAGTACTTCTGGGGCTAGAATGAAGAAAAGTGCAAGAGAGGTTCCATCATCACTCTTACAAGCATGAAAATCTTACTAAACAATGGTAAGAGAAAATTGTCCTACACAAAAAAGCTGACCTTTTTTTGCCCAGAACTGCCCAGGGGGCAGAAATAGAAATATCAGACAGAAACGATCCAGGGGAGTTGTGAAAGGGAGGGAATATACAATTGTTAAGTGAAGGTTATTATCTTCAGAAAGGCCTCACAGAAGAGGATAGGTTGCAAGAGCCGCAGAATTCTCAGAAGAACCTATGGAATACTGACTTCCCCTTTGGTGTGGAGAAACTGGGCACTGCCCCACTTCCTTCCTTTTTCTATCTGGAATGCATTCCCCTTTCTCTAACTGACAAGTTTCTAGACAGCCTTCAAGATCCTGTTCAAAATATGCCCATCTGATGATACCTTCCCTAATAGAAGCCTTTCTGAGCAGAGTTCACCCCTCCATCCTCTGGACTTGCAGACCACGTTGTCCACACCCATAAGTTCACTGTAAAACTTGTATTTGTTTACAAGTCTGTCTGCTGGTCAGGAGCTCCTCTGACCTTTGTATCCTTGGTGCCTCCTACAGAGCACAAAATAGGTAGTTCATGACTGTGTGGAGGAGAAAGGAGAAAAGAAGGGGGGGAAAAGGAGAAAAAAATGGGTGGGTGGGCATAGGAGAAGAGCAGAATGGAGGGAGAGAGAAAGAGGAAGCATCTGACAACCTTTTCTGGGCAAGAAAAAGGGAAATGAGTTAAAATTAAAACAACACCAATAGCAAAACTCTAGGGCAAAGGGACTGAAAGTGGGAAATGGCTTTTCTGGATCTTCTCTGTCTCTCGCTCTTGTCTCTGCCACTTCCCCTCACAACTTGAGTTCTCATGCCACAACTGTTTTGTTTTCACTCCTGATCTCTGTTTTCCCAAAGGGAAGAAAAGAAGCCCCAAAGGCTTCGGATTTCTTCCACCCCACCCCCTCATACCTCGTATCATCCACTTTCCACCGTGGGCCCTTCACTCCATGGCCGCTGTTGTCCCCATCTTTCCACACAACACTCCCACAGCATCACCCTGGAGAGCCTTTCAGGCTTCTCAGACCCTTTGCTGTCCAGGCCCAGATGGAAGCTTCTACCTCAGAAGAAAACCAAGAGACCCTCAGGGGCAGCCTGTAGTGTCTGGGCTGAGAAACACTAGACGGGGTCTACAAAGTCACCTGAGATAGAGTATTGTCAAGAGGGTTTAGGCCTCCCAGGGATTGGAGAGGAGAAAGGAGTAAGTGCTGGAAAAGGGAAGGGCTGAACAATTCACAGTACTTTTTCCCCACACTCCTCAAACTCTTTCACAAATTGCCTTTCCACATTTTTTCCTTGATCCATGGGTCAGAATCATTTTTCCAACTGTCCTCACATGGCCACTATGCTCTGGCTACTGGAGATTTTTTTTTTTTGAATCCGAGTCTCACTCTGTCACCCAGGCTGGAGTGCAGTGGCACGTTCCTGGCTACTGCAGCCTCGACCTGCTGGGCTCAAACAATCCTTCCGCCTCACCCTTCCAAGTAGCTGGAACTACAGGCACATGCAACCAAGCCCAGCTAATTTTTTGATTTATTATAGAGATGAGGTCTTGCCAAGTTTCCCAGACTGGTCTTGAACCCGCAGGCCCAGGCAATCCTCTAACTTCAGTCTCCCAAAGTGCTTGGATTATAGGCGTCAGTCACTGCACCCAGCTTACTGGCACTTCCTGACTATCTTCCCAGCCAGATGCACTTCCCCCACCAAGAATTTCTAAACCTTGTGGAATTGTTCCTGGGTCTCCTCTCTTTATCCAGGTAATCTGCTGCCTTCCCTTCCCAAATGCCCCAGGAGTTCTGGAACCACCTTTTCCTCAATGAAGAGCATGTATACGAAAGCAGTTTACAAACTGTAAAACACTGTGTAAATATAAGATATGATTAAGGATAAAGCCTTCTCTCTCTCCCCTCATAATCTCTGTCCTTCTCTCATCATATTTCTAATCCTTTCCTCCCCTTCCCCCATACACTGCTGCTCCCCCTTCACCCAGCAGATTTGGTTTGGTGCAAGGTGGAAACCAAAGCTATGTGCTGCACAGTGGGCAGTGTCAGGATACAGGCAGGCATCTCAGCCCGAGGCCTTGGCAGAGTTCCCAGGCAGAGCCATCGGCCCAGGCCAGGACAGTAGGCATGAATAAGGTGGGAGAGGGCATAAGTACGGTGACTATAGCCCCCCAGCACCAGCAGCTCCCCCTGAAGCACTGCACCTGCAGCCCCGACATGGGGGGAGGGCAGGGGTGCCAAGTGAGTCCAACTATCAGTCTTTAGTTCATAGGACTCGAAGCTCAGCAGGTCCCCAGTCTCACCTAGCCCACCTGCCACATACAACCGCCCACCCAGAGCAGCCATGACATGGGCAGCCCGAGGTATCCCCATAGGGCTCAGAAATGTCCTTGGCTTCTCAAGTTTGGGGTCATAGTGCAGCAATGAGCCCAGGTATTGGCCAGTCCCATTACAGCCACCGCTCACGTACAACTGGCCCTCCAAAATGACAGCTGCATGGGCAAAGCATGGTACTGGAAGTGCAGGTGCTGGCCTAAGGGAGAACAGGAAACAAGATCAGGCAACTAGCATCTTCAACTCTCCTTCTGTTCTAAGTCTTCTGGTCTCTCCCTGATGCTCCCTTGCCTGCTCACCTCCAGATATTGAGCTCAGGGTCATAGGTCTCCACAGAGCTGAGGGCAACACCATTGTCTCTTCCACCCAGGGCATAAAGTTGTCCATCCAGCGCCACCAGGGGAAAAAAGCTCCGAGCTTGGCACAAAGGAGCCATCTCCTCCCAGTCCTCTTGACTGGGCCCCCACCTAGATACAATGGGACAAGAGATAGAAGAGTGACTCTGGGCATCTATGGTTGGTGGGTCAGCAATTTCTCTCCCTGCCCATTCTCAGAAGCTCATACCTGAGAGTTGAAGCCAGGGTGTTGGTGTGACTGTAGAAATCCTGTCCCCCGCACACATATAGTTCATTTCCTGCCAGACTTGCAGCCCCATGCCGGAAGCGCCCTGGGGCAGGCAGGGCAGGCAGCCGCCCCCACTCCACGGTTCGTACCAGTCCCATGCCACAGCAAAAGGCTCGGGCCCACCACACTCCTCGGGATGGCTGTCTTAGGGACATATCTGGTTTGAGCCCATCCCCACCAATCACTACTAGTGCCCGGTCAGGCTCCCGCCGCCTCTCTCTGCCTGGAACCTCAGACTCTACCATCAGCTGGTGCAGCAGGTGTGGGGGCAAGGGTGGGGGTAGCCCAGCTGTCCGCACCCTCCGCAACTCCCTTGTGGACATGCGGCCAAAGCGGACACACTGCAGCAGGGCCTTGGCCTCTGACTCCTGGGTCTCAGGGTTGGCCGCTAGCCAACACCGTGCAGCCACAAAGGCCTCAAGCTCCTCCAGCACATGGAGCTCATCACTGTCCAGGAGCTCAGTCAGGCAGACAGCTGGTAAAGAAGGGAAAGCTGGACACAAAACTACAGCAGGCAGGTGGGTGAGGAGGTAGTGACGAGCTTTGCTCCAGAGCCTCTCCATCCCAGGGGCTTCAGCCATGGGGAACAGGGCCAGGCAACGGGCAGGATTGAGCCCCCGAGCCAAGGCTTTCTGACACAAATCCAGGCAGGAAGAGCACTGGTACTGCAGAGCAGCCTGAGCAGCTCTCAGCAGTCCTGGCCACCTTGCCCGCACAACCCCGGAGTAGGCAAAAGAGACGAGGAGTTGCAGGTCCTGGGTAGAGATGGTACGCAGAGACACCTCCGTGCCCTGGGATTCCCTCATCCCACTGAGGAGCATGGCCCCAAAGAACTCACTGCCACAGGCCAGGGCTGCTCGGTGCACTGCAGGAGGAGAGAAAAAGCAGAGGAGGACCCAAAGTGTTGCATGACAGCTAGGCACCATCCCAACTTGGTAATCCCTACTTTGGCCCTTCAAACCATCAAACTGTGGTGGTATGCATCAGAATACCATAGAGTACTTGATAAAATGCAGGTTACAAAGGTCCACCCTCAGAGATTCTGATTCAGTAGCTCTGGATGGAGCCCTAGGAATTTGTATTGTAACATTTCAAGTATCCTGTGTGATGCTTATGTTAGTGGCCTGAAGATACTTTGATAAACATTGCTTTAGGCTTTTTGGCCAAGTCAGTTAAGAAGAAAGCATTTGCTAAGGGGGCACAAAATAAACGAAAAAAAAAAAAACAATGCACAACTTTTATAGGTCTCTCTATATTGTACACAGAATAAAGTTATTTACAAATTGCAAGAGCCACAACCATTAGCCATTCTGTTAGTCAGATTTTGCTGGGAAAGTGGTATCACTCAGGAATGGCTGTAACCCAACTTCATCTGATTGCCGTCTCCTCTTGCCTAAGATTTAGTGCTCAAGATTTCCCACATGTACTAGCTTTCCTCTGTACAAACCTCTCCCCATCTTGATACATCTCATGGATCATGAGATTTGAAATTTGAAACCTTCAAAATCATCTAATTCAATTACTCTTTTTAAAATAAGGAAATTGAGACCCAGAGAAAGGATGTGATTTATTTTCTATTTCCATGCAGTAGCTGTCTGGGCAGATCATCCCCATCCACTGTCACTGATGTCAGGCTGCAGTAAGCATGCTTGTGTACCAATACCTTGGTTATCTACATGGCTCTTATGACAGTGAAACTGTCCTATTAACAAATGCTATTTAAACAACTAAGTCTCGTACTGAACATCACCTATGGAGTATACTGGCCAAATTATTTAACCTAAATTTATTCAACCCTTTAGCTGTAAAGTCAAGTTTATAGAAAGTTGAGAAGCTTAAGGAATTGGTTAAGCAAACCATGAAGGAAAAAAAAAATCATACAAATCTAGGAAATGGAGCATCCTGTAGGATAACTAATTTTGGTTTTTCAATAAGTCAAGTTGTAACAAAGAAGGGGGAGGACTGTACTAGATTCAAAGAAGTTTCAGAAACATACAGCTGAGCACGGCACTATCCTTTATTCGTTCCTGAGTTGAAAAAACTAGTTTTAAAATAAATTTTTTGGACAAGTGAGAAAATGTAAATGTAGACTAGGTAATATTAAGAAATTATTATTAATGTTGGGCATGATTTTGTTCATGAGAAAAAATTTCCTCTTTTTTTTTTTTTTTGAGTTGGAGTCTCACTCTGTCGCCCAGACTGGAGTGCAGTGGCCGCTTCCGGCCACCGCAGCCTTGCCTGCTGGGCTCCTGCGATCCTTCCGCCTCAGCCTTCCGAGTAGCCGGAATTACAGGCATGCGCTACCACGCCCGGCTGATTTTTTGATTTATTGTAGAGATGAGGTCTCGCTGCCCAGGCGGGTCTCGAACCCGCGGGCTCAGGAAATTCACTCACCTCAGCCTCCCAAAGGCGCGGGATTACAGGCTGAGCCACCGAGCCCGGCAAAAATTTTCTCTTTTAAAGAGACACATAGCCAAGCATTTATGAGTGAAATGTCAAAAATTTAGTTTAAATTTCAGCAAAAAGTAAAGTGATGAAACAGATACAGTAAAATGTTAATTGTTAAGCCTAGGTGATGGTGTTTGCGTGTTCATCTAAATATTCTCTTTGCTGTGTGAAATGCTTTATAATTAAAAACGGGAAAAATGAAGCCGGGCTCGGTGGCTCAGCCTGTAATCCCGCGCCTTTGGGAGGCTGAGGTGAGTGGATTGCCTGAGCCCGCGGGTTCGA